AAACCAGAAAACAAGAGATCAAAACAACCTCCAAGATTCTCAGTACAAGCCATTAAAAACGTAGCTATTACCGGAAGTGACGTCTATTGATAGCAACCTATACCAGGGGGGCTGGACAATTTTCACTACCGAGAAGCTTCGCGCGCTGTGTCCAACCCCCCCTGAACCTATACTGAAATCTATTTTTATTCTGTGTCAGATTGCCAAATCTTCGCTTCCTCCTATAAAAGAGGTAAGCCACAAGCAGTTCATATTTCTCAACATGATTTTCATGAATTCCACCAATAAACCAATCTACTGATCAGCTACGCTGGAGGTGGTTTCAGTGCGCTCACGATCCTCTGGGAACAAACGACAACCGTCTCACGTAAATCCAATCTCGAGCCGAGAGTCTTCCGGCTTTTTGGTCAGCGGACTGTCGCCGGTCGCTAAAGGCAAAGCAGGAAGGCGCCTGAAGGACTGTGGGTGCAAAATTGGCTTAAATCAATAGCGCAGCGCAACCGTGACGTCATAAATACGAAGACAAAGGCGAACAAACAAACTTACAAGTTTACTTTCAGCAGATAATATTCACAGCCGATCGCAGTTGATCTTAGTTTACATGGGTTATTATTGTAACTTTAAGTAAAAATAATAAAATCGGTTCGTATAATCCTCGTAGCGGTTAAACAGAATGCAATGTTTGTCCGAATCTTTAAGCTATTTTTAGAATCAGTGCGCTGCGCTATTGAACACGCGCGCCATGTAAATTCCCAGTTGGGATATTTTTAGTAACCGATTAAGTTTAAATTTCGCCTTACCCTACTCCCGTGCGTCATCAACTTGCGCGCCTGCGCTCTTTCCTTTTATTGTCTTGATAGACAAAGCGAAAAGAGCGCTCGCGCGCAAGTTGATGACGAAAAGAAGGCTTCAGAACCATGATTACTAATATCATCACATGTTATTACTATGCGGTTTTGAAATTGCATGTTCATATTTGCGCAATATAAATACATTTTATTATCATTAAACAAATATGTTAATTTTCCACACAAAAAAAACCAACACTGTTTTGTCTTCGTTTCATACAGCATAACATGCGATGGCTTCACTTTACTGTAAAAGAAAAGGTAAAAAGAACTCTTTACCTATTGCGTCATGTTTTTTTCATTCCAGACCACGTTTCATTCCCTAGAGTATCATTCCTTTGTTTAATGGTTTTGCATGAGAAGACACATGAATGTGGATACAATTCAAACAAATAATTTTATTTTCAAAAGAATAACACGTGGTCTGAAATGGAAAAAACTCTACGCTCATTAGTTTCTGCAAACCGGAAAAAACTGTACCCAACTGGAAAATTAGAGAAAAACAGATCAATCTTACTCGACTCACTCAGTGTATTTCAAGTCAGATCATTGAACCCGCAACCCCCTGCTATGAGCTACTCACAAAGCCCCGTAGCAGCGCATGCCACCCGGCCATTCAACGCCTATGGTACTCGTCTTTTAATGACAGTGCCACCGTTATATATGTACAATATGTACAATACTGGTGGTTGTCATCGTATAAACTCAATAATGTAACATCAACTATACCATGCTGACTTGCCGTTATTTCACTTTTTGGAATGGTTACAATTCAGCCCAGAAGAATAAAGGAAGGTTAACAATTAATGATTCTCAAATGCAATTTCATGTATTTTGTGTCTTTAGACTCACGTCAAAGCATTAGGCGACTCAGAACA